GGAGGCCATCGCTACTAGGGTGGAGGCCATCGCTACTAGTTTGGAGGAGGCCATCGCTACTAGTTTGGAGGCCATCCCATCGCTACTAAGGTGGAGGCCATCGCTACTAAGGTGGAGGCCATCGCTACTAGGGTGGAGGCCATCGCTACTAGTTTGGAGGCCATCCCTACTAGGGTGGAGGCCATCGCTACTAAGGTGGAGGCCATCGCTACTAAGGTGGAGGCCATCGCTACTAGGGTGGAGGCCATCGCTACTAGTTTGGAGGCCATCGCTACTAGGGTGGAGGCCATCCCTACAAAGTTGGAGGCCATCGCTACAAGGTTGGAGGCCATCGCTACTAGGGTGGAGGCCATCGCTACTAGGGTGGAGCCACCGTACTAGGTTGGAGGCCCTCGATCTTAGGGTGGAGACCATCGCGATAAGCAACCGATCCCACGACCTTAGGCTAAACAGAAAAGCATTGCAAACTGACACGCTGCTAGCAAAAAAATGAGCCCTGCAAAAAAAACTTCGAGCAACAATCCTTATTTTCAGGGCTCCTGGTGAAGCGGTTGTGGCTGAGATCCAAAGCTGTCAGCCACACTAAATCTTCCAGTGCTTTCGGAATAGAACCACTTAGGTGGTTTCCGTCCAAGTGGAGCCAGCGTAGGTTTCTCATGTTCCCTAGTTCTTCAGGAATGGTTCCTGTGAGTTGATTCTGGCACAGGTTTAGCCATTTCAGCTGCTTCAGGTGGCTGAGGCTGGTAGGAATCTGGCCGCTCAGCTGATTTTTGCCCAGTGACAACCTTTGCAAAGATTTCAATCGGCCCAGCTCAGGCGGTATCTCTCCTTGTAAATTATTGCGGTCCAAGAATAACCAATAGAATTCTGGAGGGTGACCAAGCTCGGGTGGAATCTTACCAGTCAGGTTGTTGCCGTAGAGGTTGAGCCTCTTCAGTTTGCTCAAATGCCCCAGCTCTCGCGGGATGTTTCCACTGAGTTGATTTTGACTGAGAATCAGGTATTTGAGCACAGCCATTTGACCGAGCTCCTTTGGAATCTGTCCTTGAAGTTGATTTTCTGAGATCATGAGCGTTTGTAGAGCTTGGAGGTTCCCCAACTCGGCAGGAAGCTCTCCATTGAAGCAGTTTTGCTGTAGGAGAAGTTCCTTCAAGTTTTTCAGCTGACCCAACTCTTGTGGGATTCTTCCTTCCAAATGGTTGTGATTCAAGCGCAGCCGCTCTAACTGGCTGAGCCGCCCCAATGACTTTGGGACTTCTCCACTGAAAGCGTTTCGTCTCAGATCCAAAACTTCCAAGTTCCACAAATTTCCAAAACTTTCTGGGATTTTGCCACTGAAGCGGTTCAAGCTCAAAGAAAGCCAGGTTAGGTTCTCCAACTGCCCAAGTTCTTCTGGCAGATGGCCCTCCAAATTGTTTTCCGTAAGGTCTAGGCTCTTCAGGCTCTGGAGCATCCCCAGCTCAGGTGGAATAGTTCCAGCAAGCCGGTTCTGGTCCAAATAAAGCCATTCCAAGGCCTGAACAACCGACAGACCGCGACCAACCACTGAACATCAAAAACCTTTTCAATATCAGTTGATGTGCAACCCGACACGTCGCTGTCACTTTTCACAACATAGTAGCGTCCTTGCTCCTAGTAGCGATGCCAGGAGCCCCTAGTAGCGTT